GTGTGTGTGTGTGTGTGTGTGTGTGTGTGTGTGTGTGTGTGTGTGTGTTTGCTGAAATGTCAGTTCTGATGCTCTAATTAAAATTTATTCCTTTTCTGAGTTTCTGACAGTTTGAGTCTCATGCTGGTGTTTGTGTCTCAACAGAAGAAGTTTCAATTAGTATTTCTGTCTCCAACTGCCAGATCCAGGAGAATGTGGTAAGAAACACACACACACACACACACACACACACACACACACACACACACACACACACACACACACTTTGATTTTTACTCATTTCTGTCATGTTAAAATAAAGTAACGGTTGTTTCACTGGTAAACGAGCCGTCATCAGATTGATCATCTTTATCAGATAATCTGAATTAATCTGAAGCAGTCAGGTAAAATTAAAGCTTCAGATTAATTTAGTTTTAGCTCTGATCTGATTTAAACTTGTTTTAATCCAGCGAGAAAAAAGGTCGTGACGTCATAAGTGCAGCATGGGTGTTATCAGGTAGTTGCTGGAGCATCCAGCAGCCAATCAGCAGCCTCTCAGAGTGGAGGGGTTTCTGCTGCAGCAGAGTCTGAGTGAGTGAGTGAGTGAGTGAGTGAGTGAGTGAGTGAGTGAGTGAGTGAGTGAGTGAGTGAGTGAGTGAGTGAGTGAGTGAGGGTCTGAGGACAGATCAAAGACAGACAGACCTGGAGGGGGTCTGATGGGGGTCACACTGTGGGTTCTTTAAGACAAGATGGTCAAATTATGGATCTGCTCTACATGTGGAGACGAGACCTTGTGTCTCAACAACTGGTATCAGCTGGACTATAGGATGAGTCTATGACAGGATGAGGGATGAGTCTATGACAGGGTGAACCCAGCTGTTTGTCTTTAATCTGTAATAATCCCAGCAGCGGTGTGTTTTGAGGCCTGTCAGCTCTTATCTCATGTCATTAAAACAAATTTACATTTGTCAGATTAACGTCAGGCTCAGAGGCTGGCGGGAACATGCACCTCACCATCTCCAAGGTGAGCCAGGATTCAAGCAGCTCACATGGAGATTACTGTGATTACTCAGTCAGCCACACCGTTCCCATGGAGACCATGGTAATTAGACGCAGAGCTCTGAGAAGAGGAGGAGATTTATAATATTGTATTTCTGTCATGTTAGCTCGAGGTGTGATATTAGGCTGTCTGTGAGCAGAGCAGAGCTCAGAGTGATTATAGACAAATGAAGTGGAAAATATTTTCCAGTTTTAGTGTCAAAGCTGTCATTGATCACTGACACTGTGTGGTTATCCTGAGCTGCTCTCTGGTAAAAACACTCAACACCTGCAGCTCCTCCTCTTCATCACAGGCTTCTCACTTAGAAAACTGAAAACATATTAAATGAAAGTAAAACTTTAGTTTTTAATCCAGGATGAAGAAGCTTTCAGCTCCTGATGGTCGTAGTCTCTGGACTCGGACTCTTTGTGACAGCAGAGCTGTGCAGATGATGCACTAAAATCCTGTTTTATTTTCTGTGCACAGTTTGTTCTACACCTGCCCACACCTTCATGGTTTCACCTGCTGGAGTTCACTGTGTCTGAAACAAGTCCATTCAGGATGTTGAAACATCGTCTGACCCCTTTCCAGTAACAACTGGGGTGAAGCAAGGTTGTGTGATTGTGCCTACTTYGTTCATCATATTTTTTGGCGCTATGCTTGATGAGGCACTGGCAAACTGTGGAGATCAAGGCATTTACGTCAGGTTCAGATCTGATGGCAGCATCTTTAATAAGACTGTGTGCCAAAACCAAGGTCGGCCACCAGTTGATCCAAGATTTACTCTATGCTGATGACTGTGTTCTTCTCTCACAAAGCGAGGAAGGTCTACAWCTCTTGGTAAACAGCTTCTGATGCCTCAAAGCGGTTTGACCTTTGTGTTAGCACCAAGAAAACTGAAGTACTTCACCAGCCCCGCCCTGATACACATTACATTGATCCAGTGATATCTATTGATGGCAAGCATCTAAAGAACACGGATGCCTTTGTGTACCTGGGGAGTATCCTGACGAACAAAGGACAGCTGGATGGAGAGATTTCAAACCGCATCACAAAGGCTAGCACATCTTTTGGACTCTTCCAGGATAGAGTGTGGAAAAGCCAAATCATAACTTCATTCACAAAGGTTTCTGTACACCATGCCGTTGTCTCAAGTACCCTACTCTATGGAGCAGAGTGCTGGACAACTTAACACCGACACATTCAACTACTTGAGGCCTTCCAGCAACGTTGTCTTAGGAAGATGTTTAATAAATCCTGGGAGGAAAAAGTGTCAAACCATGAAGTTCTTCAGAGATTTAAATGCYATTCGGTGGAGAGTACCATCATTAAAAAACAACTACAATGGTCAGGCCATCTTGTGCGCATGAGTGATCTTAGGATGCCCAAACAGCTCTTCTACGGTGAGCTCGCCTGTGGTGAACGACCAGTTGGAAGGCCCAGGAAGTGGTTCAAGGATTCCCTAAAAGAACCCCTCAAGAAGTGTGGCATGTCTGCTGAAAGCTTTCAGCTACAAGCGCAAAACCGCCCACTCTGGAGAGGTGCAGTGGTAAAGGGAGTTGAGCTGTTTGAGACCAACCGGACACATACTATCCAACAAGTCTGTCTCAGGTGATAAAACCCAGACACAGCTGATGTGCCATACAAATGTAACGTCTGCTCGAGGCCCTGTGCATCAGTGGCTGGTCTTGCTGCCCATATTTGTGCCAGTTATCACCAGGAGTCGTCATCATTTCTGACATGACATCCATGATGATGATGATGATGATGATGATGATGATGATGACCGCACCATGTATCCATGGCCTTTATGTGAGATAGATAAGCTGATTCACCTGTGGGTTTATTACTATTTATTTGGGCGGCTGTGGCGGAGTGGTTTGGGGAGTCGTCCTGGAACCGGAAGGTCGCTGGCTCAACCCCCCGTCCAGCCGTCTCAGTCGTTGTGTCCTTGGGCAAGACACTTCACCCACCTTGCCTACTGATGGTGGTCAGAGGGTCCGGTGGCGCCGGTGCATGGCAGCCTCACCTCTGTCAGTGTGCCCCAGGGCAGCTGTGGCTACAGTGTAGTTTGCCATCATCAGTGTGTGAATGTGAGTGTGAATGGGTGAATGTCTGTTAGTGTAAAGAGCTTTGGGGTCCGGAGGGACTTGAAAAACGCTCTATAAGTTCAGTACCATTTACCATTTAATTATAATCGGACCCCCTCTGCTGTTCAGGATATTAACTCCGTGTACCAGATCTTCCCAGATGAGGTTCTGGGTTCGGGACAGTTTGGGATTGTTTATGGAGGTAAGATGTTTGGGATATTTTAACACAAACTTCATGAATTTGTCTTTTCACATGTCTGGGACTCCCTTAGCTTCAAATGAAACATTCATTCCTCACAGGTAAACACAGGAAGTCCGGTCGAGATGTCGCCATCAAGATCATCGATAAACTTCGTTTTCCCACCAAACAGGAGAGTCAGCTGCGTAACGAGGTGGCCATCCTGCAGGTTAGAGCGAAGAAACAACTCATTAAATATGAAGTGTTTGAAGCTCTGAACCCACCCAGTTTAAATTAAAGATTCCCAGCTGAAAACAGAAGTCCAGTTTGAGTTTGGATTAATAAATCTTGGATTAATAAATCCTGAAAACTTAAATGACTTTTAGAATTTAAGCAGCTGACGCCTCACCAGGACTTTATTTTGAAAGGGCTGGTCTCTTGCAGAGCCTGCACCACCCGGGGGTGGTGAACCTGGAGTGCATGTTCGAGACCCCGGAGCGGGTCTTCGTGGTGATGGAGAAGCTCCACGGAGACATGCTGGAGATGATCCTGTCCAGTGAGAAGGGCCGGCTGCCCGAGAGGATCACAAAGTTCCTCGTCACTCAGGTCCTCTTTCACTTCCTGTGTGTTCACGTGTCAATCATACCAAACTCCTCCCACCTTTTATTTGTGATTTTGATTGTTTATAGGATTTTTTTTGGTTGTAAAGAAATAAAGTCTTAAAAATAAATAAATAAAACTTGCTGTAAAAAGGGGCGGGGTTTAATCTGAAGTTTAAAGGACCAATATTATGTGTTTCTCAGGCATATATTTAAATACTATACTATAATAAAGTATCTACACTCACCGGCCACTTTACTAGGTACACCTGTCCAACTGCTC